CTTGGTTCTGGGGGCTGGAAAAATGTAGGAAATGAATTTGTAGAGAAATATGAATTTCTAGAGAAACAGGCATGGTGGAGAGAGAAATGGAACTAGAAGCAAGTTTCAAAGGAGGGCCTTGCAAACAAGACTGGATACTTTGGAGAAATAGAACTGTGAAAGATGCATTGTAGCAGGACCCGCAATGGGTAATTTTAGATTATTAAGTTTAGGGCATTTACAGCATAGTGTAGGAAAAGCTGATAGGCCAAGAAATGCTTATAATAGAATTAAGAAATTGTTAACTTCTGATTGTGATGGTGTGAATTATAACATCTGTATTGTCTCACCCTTCTCATGAGACTGAAAATGGAATAAAAGCTTTTAAACACCTCTCAGTTACCCCATCTCTGAGTCAGAAAAGGACTTAATATGACAAAAAAGGGGATTATTTTGTGTGAATGAGCTGTGAGGAGAAGTGCTGACACTTTATATGAAGTTCAGAGTTATGTACCAGTGCAGAATCTGGAAAATATAAAAGCTCAAAGTGAAGGGATGAGCACTCAGAGCTCTGGGCTGGGGATTGGTGGGGTTGGGCACAGCTGGCATTGAGGATCTCCAAGCTGTTTTCCAAGCTGATTTTTCTGTGATTCCCTTGCAGATCCGGGATGGACAGAGCCTGGCACAGCTGGGCACTTTGGTGGGTGGCCTCAACAGCAGCACGCTGTGGAGTTTGTCCCCAGAGGTTGTCCTGGAGGCCATGCAGCTGCCAGCCTTTGCCCAGCACGTGGGCACCCTGCCCCGTGCTCTGAAAAGGATCCTGGTGGAAAAGGTGACCTTGTGTTGTCTCAGCCAGGAGCAGGGGTGGGGACACTGCTTACCTGGGGCCAGGTGTGCCACAGCTGCCCCCTGCCAGCATGCCCTGGGGGTTGGTGACAGCCAGGCAGGGTGGCAGCAGGACAGGCCACTCAAACCCTGCCCCTGCCTCTGTGTCACTGTCCTTGGCCTGCTCTGCCTCTTGGGGACAAGGCCGGGAGGGATTTGTTTAATGGGGTGCTCCCAAAAACTGCTTCCCTGTGGATGTTCCCAGGGAAAGAATAGAAATGGTTAATAATATATTGACCAAATATTATATGTATATGTGTATATATATATATGTATGTATATATGTATATATATGTGTATATATGTGTGTATATATGTTTATATATATATGTATCAGTATGTATATATATATGGATATTTTATATGTATATTTTATATATATAAAATATATAATATGTATACAATGTATATACATTATATATATAATATACATAATATATAATAATATAATATTATATATAATACATATTTTCTTTATAATATTGTATATTATATATATTGTGTATATATTTATTTTATCTATTATATATAATGTATATATTATGTATATAGATAATATTATAATATATAGTGTATATTATATATAATTATTATATATTATACATAATAATATATTATATTATTATGTATATTATATATATTATTTATATATATAAAGAGATATTTTTATTTTTATATATATATATATATATATATATTTATATATATATATATATATGATATATGATATATATTATATTATAACCATAGAATAATTCAAGGTTGGACTTGATCCTGGAGGTCTTTTCCAACCCAACCAATTCCCTGATTCTGATCCTGCTGATCCTGCCATGGTTTGGGCTAAAGCTGGGTGAGATTTGGAGATTTGTCGTGGTTTGTTCTGTTGGGTTTTTTTGCCATGTTTTTTTCTGTTGGGTTTTTCCAAGGTTTCCTCCAGGGTTGCCCACCCCTCTGAGCTGGTCAGACTCATTCCCAGTGCCCTGGCCAGCTCCATCCCAAAATCCCTGCTGGTTTTTGGGGAAGAGATGCCAAATGTGCAGGATCTCAACAACAAACCATGGACCAGAGAGCAGGTAAAGGGCTCCTCCTTCCCCTCCCTGGCAGCCCTGCCCTGTGTGGGGCCATGAATTCCACAAATCCCCCTGGAATCAGAGCCCCTTTCCCTGGAAAACCTCTGCCTTTGCTCCCCAGGCTGCCATGTTCTTCAGCGATGTGGTGAAGGCAGAGCCTGACTTCAGCAGGTAAAGATTTCCCCCCTCTCCTTCCACTTTCTGTTTGTTTTCCTGGCAATTCCCAGCTTTCCCGTGTTCCATCCACATCCACCCCCTGGAACCCATGGGAACAGACGGGAGATGGAATGGGAGCCCAAACACAGACGTGGAACACAGAGATTTACCAGGGCTCAGCTGCCAGAAACACCCAGGGACCACATTTTCCTTCTAAAATGATGCTGCTGGCTCAGGCTGCACCTGCAGTCTTGCTCCAGATTGCCTCTGGAATGCTTTTCCAAGCAGGGAATGCATTTCCAAACCTTACAGAGGGCAATTCCAGGGATTCATTTAGAGGGACTCCTGTATCTTCTTGATGTATCTGAGATGAAAATTACAAAAAAAGAGATTTATATCTGGGAAACCCAGTGGGGTGAGCAGAGTCCTGCTCTGAATGCTCCTTCCTGAAGGCTTTTCCCTGCTGATTTTCCTGCTGGGAACTCCCAGGCTCTCCCAGTCTGTGCTCCAGGGCTTCACCTGTGCAGCTGC